TGTTTCCCTGCAGGCCCATTTTGTGTGAAGAGGGCAAATAAGAATATATTTTAAAAGTTTATTTACTTTAAACTAAAATAGTCATGGGTGAGATGTTAGAAATCTGGTGAATGTATATTTAATGATGCTAATAAAGGCATATCTAAAATTGAAGGTATTTTGCTCCTTATACCTGTAAACCCATTGGATCTGGATGATGTGACCAGGCTTAGGGCCTTGTGATGTGAATGTGTTCCAATGAAAAAAATTGGCTGAGGATTAGGATAATAGATATATGCTATTATGAGAATTTTAGCTAAGGGCTGGGCTGATGGTGAATGACATTATAAATGCACCAAATTCATGGAGATAGATAAGACAGTGGGCTTTCAGGAAGGGATTCTTGCATTATTGCCAACTGTAAACAATGGTGGAATGTACCATCTGTGAGCTGTGCCAATCCTGGGAGGACAGTCATTTTACTATCTTCATACAGCATAACAATAGACAAATAAAGACCTTAGGTAATAGCTAAAATGCAAATAACGTGCAGAAAAAGAGAACAACATTACAAGGGGGAGGCAAGGGGTCTTATACCACATGAATGTTCCTGTAGACTAGGCCTACAAGCCACACATGCAGGAGAGTCATTGCTCAATTAACCCAGTGCCGATGGGTAAAAATGTTTGGCAAGTGGACGTAAGAACAGGATTGTTGGCACACTGGCAGTTTCCCCTATTTGCGCCCGGCTCAATTTGGTAGTTTGCGAGCGACATTGCTCAATTAACCCAGTGCCGATGGGTAAAAATGTTTGGCAAATGGACGTAAGAACAGGATTGTTGGCACACTGGCAGTTTCCCCTATTTGCGCCCGGCTCAATTGGTAGTTTGCGAGCGACATTTAGCACCTAAAAGCTTTTATTTTGCTATAATTTATTAAAATATTAAAATTTTGAAGGTTTACCTTCATTATAGGTGCCACTGCCTAAAATGTTTACCATGTAAAGGAATGGTTAATGGTTAATGGTTAAGATAAATGTGCTAGACATCTAAGGTCATATAGCACTATAGGAAGGTATAGTAAAGGGGGATGTCATGTGATAGTTGCTATGTGTCAACTATCTAGAGTAGTGGTGGTTATGGTGGTTTAGGTAAGGGAGTTAGATCAAGTGAAGGATATTTATGCGTCTGAGGAAGGAGAACAGGTTGTCAAGGCAGAAGCTGTGGGATTCTGTAAGGATGTCCGATATGTTGGGAGGTCGGTGAAGGGAGGATAGATGTGGAAAAGCAGAGGTACGTGCTGTATTAAAGCATGGACAGGACAAGAGAATGTGTGGGACTGAAAGAGGGACGTTACATAGAGGACATAGGGGCGGGTCTGAGCGTGACATTAGATAGGCGTGTGTGGCCAATACGTAAGTGTGCAAGGGCTGTCTCCCAAAAAGGAGTGCATATAGTTTTGTAGTAAGGACACTAGATTCAGGAGGGAGGGTGTATTTGAAAGTGCAATTTGGGAATGTTACTGCGAATCCAGCTCCTGAGATGGATTTGGAACCGTCAGTGTAAACATGAATGCTGGAGGAATGAATGGAGACATGGTCAAGGAAATGAGTGAGAAGGATAGAGGGGGGAATATCTGATTTTGGTGGGTCAGGGAAAACTGAGGAGCAAATACAGGGGTTAGGTATAAGCCATGGAGGAATGGAATGGACAGACAGTGGGAGAGGTCGGAGGTGAGGAAGGGGGAATGGGAGAGGAGGGTATCCATGCGTACGGGGAGAGGAGTTGGTAAACGTGGAGAAGAGGTAAAGGTATGAAGTAAGGATTGTGGAATAGTTAGTTTGGTAAGGGAAAATTGGTGAAATCGAGCATAGCATCGGAGAGAGAGAAGGGCTCGACGTCGAGAGAGGGACGGCATGCCTGATTCAGTATATAGGCTCTCAACTGGAGAGGAGCGGAAGGCGCCTAGGGCTAAGCGGAGACCGCTGTGGTGGATTGTATCAAGGTGAGCAAGAAGAGAGGTTGAGGCAGAGGAGTAGATATGGCATCCATAATCTAGAGTGGAGAGAATCAAGTAACATGAAGATGGAGGAGAGTTTTGCGATCTGAGCCCCAGGAGATATGTGAAAGAGTTTGTAAGATTCGGAGGCGACGTTGAGCTTTTTTTTGATGTACAAGATATGGTCTCGCCAGGACAATTTGGAATCAAATATAACGCCTAGGAATTTGCCAGAAGAACGGTATTGGAGTGGAGCATTATATAAGAAGAGTGGGGGTTTGGGACCGTACGTGAGCGAGAGAAAAGGATGGGGAAAGATTTAGAGGTAGAGAAGCGAAAGCCATGGTTGGTGGCCCAAGAAGTTACTGATGTTATTGCAGACTGAAGGAATTGACAGAGATCTGGTATGGATGTGCCAGATGCATAGATGGTTAAGTCATCAACATATAGTGATGCTCGGCTCCTGGTGGTAGGACTGAGACTATGTCATTTACAGCAAGAAGGAATAAAGTGGTACTAAGCACACTTCCTTGTGGGACGCCTTCGAATTGAGGAAAGGATGATGAGTGGAAGAGGCAATCTTGACCTGGAAAGTACGTTTAGAAAGGAAGGATTTAATGAAAACACCCATGTTTCCACGTAAACCTAGGAGGACAATTGTTGGAGGATATGGTATCGCCATGTGGTATCATATGCTTTTTCTAGATCAAAGAATATGGCTAATACGGATTCATGGCGTGCAAATGCCGATGTAATGTATGTCTCGAAATGGGCAAGTGGGTCTGCTGTACTTCGGGCACGTCGGAAACCAAACTGGGAAGGGGAAAGGAGATTATGAGATTCAAGGTACCACATTAAACGGAAGTTAACCATTCGTTCTAGTAGTTTGCACAAGCAGCTAGTTAGAGCTATGGGGCGGTAATCTTGGGGTAGGGTACCTGATTTATTGGGTTTTAAGAAAGGTAGGATAAGAGCATCTCGCCAATGAGAAGGAAAATTTCCTGACGTCCATATGTGGTTGAAAACAGTTAAAAGGAAGGATAGAGAGGAAGATGGTAGGTGTCAGAGCATACGATAGTGAATACCATCAGGGCCTTCATGAGTATTTTGGCCTTCATGAGTGTTGGGAGGATGGATATCAGTGGTGGACGGGATTGAGGGGGTTAGGTTGTGTTGAGAGGGAGTAGGAGAAAGGGGTGTAGGGGGAATATGAGTAGGAGGGGTATGTATATCGGCAACCACTTCAAGTGTGGAAGGAGCATTAGTTATGGAATCTTATGTCTTAAGCATATAACTTTGGATGTCATCCATTGTTTCTGCAGTGGAATTGATTGGAGAGTATGGTGAGAAGGTAATTGTTTCTGCAGTGGAGTTGGTTGGGGAGTTTTGTGGGATAAAGGTTTTCTTATGAGGGGGGAAGAGGAGACTGGTGTCTCAGGAATAAAGGTAAAGGTAGGTGGAGGTGATTGTGCTGTAGGGGAAGAAGGGTTAGAACGTTTAGTCTGTCTACTGCGGGGAGGGAGAGGGGGTGGTGTTGGGGCTGTAGTTGAGATATGAGCTGTGGTTGTGATTGGGGTGTCTGGGTTTGGAGTGGTAAAAGAATTGGTCTGAGGGGGTTAGAATCTAGTAGTGGTTGGGGCTGTAGTTGAGATTGGAGCTGTGGTTGAGATTGGGGTGTCTGGGTTTAGAGTGGCAAAGGAATTGGTCTGAGGGAGGTAGAATGTAGAAGTGGAAATGGGGACTTCTTGGGGTGGAGGAGGAGGGGCTGAGCGAACGATGTTACTAGAGTATGGAGTATGAGAGAAACCTTGTCAACGTGCTTCCTGTCTGGGATCATCATTTTTGTATCTGAGAGTTGCTACCTCAGATTCAAACTTGTAAGTGGGACAGCCTCTATAAAATACATTATGGGGGCCGCCGCAGTTAGCACATGTTCGTGTTTGTGCTGAGCAGTTTGATCAATTATGACCAGGTTGGGCACATATGGGGCATCGGTCTGTGGAACAGCAATGTTTGGCAGGATGTCCAAAGCGCCAACAGTTTTGACATTGACGAGGAGGGGGTTGGTATGGTTGAACAGGGAGGGATTGTCCACCGATGTAGATACGTAAGGGAAGGTCATGTGTACGGATGGTAATTTTGGCAATGTTGGTCGGATTTTTTCGTTGACCTTTAGGAGGAGTGGTGTAGCAATGTACTGATATCACATCTTGGTCTTTGAGGCATCCTATTAAGTCTTCTCCACAGTCTGACCAATCTTTGGTATCGATTGGGCAGTTTGCTGGAGAGAGAGAGACAGTTCCGGTACAGGTATTAAGGGTTGGATGAGGTTCTGCGGGAATGGGGTTGCCAGAATGATCAGTTAAATTTGATAGTGCTATAGATTCAGTTTCTGATCTGACTGTTACAAGACGGGAGCAATCGCGTCTGGTATAGAAAGGGACTCTACCAACTTGTTTTTGGAGGCATTGTTGAAAGAGAAGAGTGTTGCCTGAGTAAGGAGCTGTAGAAGGGATCACGAAAAATCGGTCCCATTTAGCTGGGGTAAACAGAGTATTTAAGATATCTGTAGGGTTGGTGGTGGTGGATGGTCGGAGACATGTGGAAGAGGGAGTATTACGGAATGATGGAGAATAAGGCTGCAAGGTAGTAATAAGGGAGGATTGGTTGCTTGATGAAAGTTGCGGGGGTAGAGTTGATGAATTTGAGGAAGTTGGGTGGGTAGGAATGTCTTCTGGAAAGTGATTCTCTGCTTGGGTGGGTAATGCACTAGTAGGCATTGAGGAGTGGGTAGTAGTTTCAGTGTTCGGAGCCGTGGTCAAAGGAGAGCCTGGGTTGGGGCTATTTGATAAAGGGGCTAGCCTCATTGCTTCTAATAAAGGGATTACATTTTCATTACTGGTCATGGGGAACCTGGATTATATAAAAGGCATCAACTGGTCCACCTCCATCGCTAGTGAAAGGTAAGGGCTAGATTAGTCGGGAGTACCGTGCCCATAGTTCCCACAGGCCGTTCAGGACTGGCACAAGGTCAGCCATTCATCCTCTCAGCACGGCTCTCACACCTTAGGAAGTAGATAGTAGAAGGGGATGGAGAAGGGATGGAAAGAAAAGCTAGAGGGGAAAAAGACCATGCAAAATTAGTTGAGTTGAGAGCTGAGGCCCTAGGCAGGGGAGTTCCCTGCATTGGGTCTCAGTCTCCGTCTCCTAAGCCCCCCCATGACAACAACGGGCAAGGGATTGTGGGGGGTCATGTAAATGAAGCCGCTACTATTAGAGAAAATAAACTCCGTCTGATGAGCCAGTGGCGCGGAAACGGGCGTGATACGATGCCATCTGTGTTTTGGTCCACAACAGCCATGGCATGTACGTACATGCCACCTGTCGGCTAGGGGTTAAGTCTAATGGCTGAATTTCGGTCCACACAGTGGTCATGATGCACCCTTATCCAAAGGTATCCTGCTTTGAAAATTACAATTATTCATGAATTGTGGATATTGTGTGTATTAATCCTGCATTTTCTGTTTTGTTTTTTGTTTTGTACTTAGATTAGCACATATCCTATAATAAATTTATGATTTGATTTTGGGGAGGATATGTGCTGTGATTTTGAGGGGGGGCAAGTAGACAGATTCCTGTTTGTGCCCAGCTTCTTTGTTAGTTTGAAAGCAACATTAGGTACCTAGAAGTTTTACCATAGAAATGACGCTGCAACTATCAGAGAAAAAAAAAGCTCCGTACAATAAGCCAACAGTGTAGGAATGGTCATGCTGTGATGCCACCTACTACTTTGTTCACGAACAGCCATGGCACGTACATACATGCCACCTGTGGACAAAGGGTTAAATGTGCTAAATGTCAAATGTCATATAGTAGTTAAGGATAGTATGGCATTGAAAGGGGGCAAAGAGGGGTGAGGGTTAAAAGGGTGAATAAAGGGTAATTAGATCAAAGTTATCAAAGGAAGTGTGGGATTCTATAAGGATGTCCATAAGGAGAAAGGGGTGCTTCAAGGAATCCACCTGGAAGCCAAGGGAGTGCCAGCCTTTGAAAGTTTGGGAACCACTGATATAGATGAAATGGGGAATGGAATGTGTTGTGAGGGTGTGGGTGGTAAGGGTGTAAGGGGAAAATGAGTAGGAAGAGGATGGATGTTAGCAGTCACTTTAAGTGTAGTCACTTGTGAGTGACGGAATGGGAGCAGAGATTGGAGGACAGATGAGGTGTAGCCATATTGCCTCCCCTTTGCAATGTTATCTCTTTTTCTGCACAAGTGTTTTTTTTTCCATTTTCCAATGTTTACATTTGTTATTTGATAGGCTGTTTCCAGATTGTAATACTGTTTTCCTTACACAGACTTCATATCATCTCCCTAGGTAGTCTAATAAAAAGTATAATTTTTCGTAATATTCAATTTTCTGTAATACAATCTGTGCTGCCAATCATAGCAGGCAGGAATATGATCCTGAGCACTGAAATAGTGTCCTCATTGCAGCCAGCACCTTTCTAGTCATGGCTTATGGATGGTACTTCCTAAACTTGTTTACCAATAGGAATAATGCAAGACCCCTTTCCTAAATGCCCAGTGAGTCTAATCACCTACGAAGAGCTTTGTGCACTCGTAGTGAGTCATTCCCATCACCCCAGCCTTCTGCCAATTTTTTTGGATAATGGTACGTTCACATCACCCGCCCCTCAAGTCAATTTTTTTCATGACATGATGGTCATGTCATCTGGATCATATGGCTGATCCAATAACAGCTGTATTAAAAATTGGCCAATGGCCAAAAATAAAGGGTTGTTGGTGCACATTAGCTGTTTCCCTCTTTTCAGTCCAGCTCATTCAGTACTTCAAGCACAACAGTAGGTGCCTCATAACTTGCTTCTATATTTCAGAAACATAAGTTTAAAAATTTTAAGGTTTCTCTTTACTTAAGTGCCTGTTTCTTATAAACACACAAAAATTATATTGCTATTATTGGAGAAAGATAAACTTCCTCTAATAAGCCGACAGCATAGGGTATTTCATTATGCTATGCAATCCACAAATAGGCCCACAGAGCCATTGCTTAATATCATACCATCCATAGTCATAGGGTTGAAAATTTACTCAACATAATGATATTTTATAAATGAAAAAATGTTGACAACAAAATAACACTTTATTTTGGAATAATACATATTCTCAAGTCTTATCGATATTTTTTCTTATACTCTCTTAATAACTACCATAATGTTTTAACCTGAATAAGCGTACTGTTCCTCCATTATTACCAGCTGCGATATAACCTCCATTTGGTGAAAACCGTGTGACTTGGACTCTTGCTAGGTTTGTGCCCTCTCTTGGAAAGTTGGTGAAGTATGTCATTGAAGGGAAATGTACCTGTTGAAAAATTAATTTTATGAATGTGTACAAAAGCCAAGTACAACAAAAATGTTTATTTCTTCATTTATTCATTCATTATCACTTCTTTTTTACCAGTACCACAACAGGTACTGACATGTTTTAGCACTAATAGTGCTATAATTAAAAACTGAAAAAAATCAGATATCAAAATGGAGTATTGCCTGTGTAATGTTCTGTGATACAATTAAGCACTTTTTGGTATGTAAACTGCAAGACAATTTTTAAGAATTAAATGAAACAGATTACTATGTAAGAAACATATAAATAAAATTCTAATGAAATCTATTGATAAATAAAGAATTTTCTGCACACAAAAATTCAAATCTGCTAAATCTGTCAAAAATACACATATGCTGCCATGTAGTAATATATATCTATATTGTTTGTAATGAAAAAAGTGCTACTAACTCTTTGATACCATAAGTGTATGTACACATGGACAGTTTTATCATATTAACTTTGTTTACACAGATGGTTCTAGAAGTGCTTAGTTAACATGGAGTAAATTAGACATCTACTGAACCCATTTTAGAATTTTTTTGATAGAAAGATTCCTATTTTTGTCACTATTGTTTTTTTTTCAATAGTGATCAAATCATCTTCAGCAATGATAATGAAAGAAACAAGATTTTTCCTTCCCTAAAAATTGGCCAAAGAGATCAGTTAGACCTAGTGAGTGACTTCTTGGTAAGAAAATGTTTATGAAGCCATCAATGTGTACACAAAATTAATAAAATTCATGGTGGATAGTACAATACCCTGCACGAATGGGCAACAGAGCCCAAAATGATGATATAACTTAAAAAAAACACATTTTTGAAATAAGAACAATAAGGATGAGCATGAAGGAAAGAAAGAAGGAAATAGAGAATGAAAAAGGAAAAAAAGCAAAGGTTATGTACCAAGAAACAAAGAATGGATATAGAGATCATGAAAGACTGGCAGGAGGAATAAAGCCGGAAAGAAGGAAAACAAGGAATATAGACCAAGAAAGAAAGAGACTGTCAAGAAAGAAAGGAGATTTGGATTAAGAAAGAAGGATGGAAACTATGAGAGCAGGATAGAAAGAAAGGGATAGATCAGGATAAAAAGGAGACATGGATCATGAAATAATATAACATAAACCAAGAAACTAAAAGATAACATTGGCCATGAAAGAAAAAGGATGTGGACATCGGCTATAAAAGGAGGAAAGGAAAAATACAAGCAAAAAACGAAAAAGATAATATGGGGTAATAAATAAATAAAAACATAATGGCAAGAAAGAAGGAAAAATATATGTACCAAAAATGAAGGAAAACAGGAGGTTTAGATTAGGAATGAAGGGGGAAAAAGAAAAAGAGAAAGTGAGAAAAAAAAAGAGGTCTGGATTAGGAAAGAAAGAATGAGAAGGAACTAGCAGAGAATGCAAGGATATAAAGAAGGAGAATAAGAAAAATACTTCACAGGATGTTTGACAATCATTTATACGTACAAAGAAGAACAAAAACGAGAAAAAGGGCACTTACTAATTTAAAAGCATTTTCTTTGAAATGTGATCCCATTGCAAGAAGTTCAGACGAAGGATTGAAAGTCAGCGAAGTCACAGATGTGACAAGTTTATCTAGAACTTTCACAGGTAATGGCGTATCCTTTGTAAGGTCAGCAGTGTCATATATATTTACAATGCCTGATGACGATCCACAAGCTAAGTATTGGTTATTTGGAGAAAGAGCTATTGACATTCCATCTATGCAACCATCATCATAGAACTTATGTACACACACTCTATTGTTAATATCCCAGGTCAGTACATCACCTCCATCTGAAATGAATTTATAAAGTATATCCTTAAAAGGCTGTAAATAACAAAAAAGAAAATATATATGATACAGAAAAAGAAAAAAAAATCTATAACATTTAATCCTCCACACAATACTGAAACTTTAGCATTATTCCTCAAAGAAAAATCGTACTCTACAGAAACTAACTTCCATGGGTATACATCCTTGTTCCACTTGAATTGAAGGTGGCTGATGTTACTTCCTCTGAGGCCTGAAGTGTGTCAATGTGAGAGAGGGTTTTGGTGTCAAAGATGTGAATCAGTGATTTGGACCCAAAGAAGAACAAAAGTTCACCATCAGGGGAAATTACAAATTGCTGAAAAAGAAAGCAAAGCAATGAATAAACAAATCTGTTCTAAAAACACAAAAATCTTTCAATAAAATATTCTGAATACTGTAGATCTACTAATTTCATTACTCAACCTTACAAAAAGAAAATAAATATGTCCACTTTAAAAGCACTACACTGCTGTTGGATTACAGATTTTACCAAGTGCACTCCTAACTAATCAGTCAACCATGTTAATACATAAAAAATCAATTATCCATTCTGCAAACATCAAAATCTTCCAACACTATTCACACTGGAACTATCAATGAGCTCCATCATAAAAAGTAAAAAAACAATTCCATTCTAAAAACAAAAGAAATCTGACATGATCCACACAGGAGAGAAGCATACTCCCAACTTATAATCAAACTTCAACATTACTGCCACTCTCAACAAGCAAAGACAAAAACAATAAAACTTTACCTTCATGCACTTTCGGTCTTCTGATTTGTTCCAGGGTATCATGATCTCTTTACCACCTTCCATATCATATACAAAGAAGTGCCCATACAGGTCTGACCCCACCACAAATCGCCGCCCATCCTTGAAGAACTTGGCACACTTTATGGGGAATCTTGGGAACTTCATAGTCTGGATTTTGTGGTTGTGTAAGCCATCAACCTGAAAGGAGAGGGTAGATATAAAGAATAGGTATACATAAATTTCTAAACAATATCTAAAAACATAAACTACTACAAGTACCATATAAATTCAACTATAATAAAAATAAACAATGACAATTATAAAACAAATAACTATACCAATAAGAATTCCATATACTGTAAAGGCAATTTCTAATAATTCTTTGACAATGGTTTCTTCCTTTTAGTTACTTTATTTACTTAAATACAGGATTAGCTGACAAAGCCAGTTATTAAGTATATTGGCTAAGGAATCTGACAAGTCTGAAGCAAGTTGCAAACCTGGAATAGTGATGCGGAGCCATTTGTTTTTGAAAATCCTGCTACTAAGGCCACTTGGAAAACAGGATTGAACTCCACTCCTTTGATAATAGCACCTTCAGCATAGGTTGCACGATTCAGGTCTGAAAGCATCTTGTATTCTAGCACTGATTTGGGTAGCCTTGAAGGGCCTTCTGAGGATATGTAATTTCCAGTTCTCTGAAATAAAATAATAGGATATCTTTGCATTACTATACCAACATGCATTAAAATATGCCACCACAATTCAAAAAGTGATAAAACTATTGGACAACTCATTATTAATCCATACCCTATTAAAATCACCCTCATCATCAGAATCATTTTCAATCTTGCGGTCAAGCTGAGCCCATTCTGGTGTCGATCCCATTGCTAACTCAAACTTTTCTTTCAACATGTTTTCATATCTCTCATCAGACACTTCTCTTGCACCTTCTTGCCTCTCATCTTGCTCATGTTGGCCATAAACATCCTTAACTCTGTTGAAAAATTGCAAATAATCTTAGGTGAAAAAATATTCCTTTGCAAAAGATATCATTAAAACATGATTCAAAACACACATTTCACCTATTTCTTTTTTTTTGTATTACAGAAAAATCACCAATGATATCCAAACAATTATTTTCATGATACTCCATAGTACCTAATATTATCATCATCTTCGTCAACCCAAACTGGCTTCTTTTCAGCAGTTTTTTTGTCATCAAGTTGGAGGTCATAAGGATCATTTGGGATTGAGCCAGGAGCCTTTTTCTTTTTGTCCACCTTGGTTGAGCTATGCTTTTGGGCTCATCCCCTTGGACTTTTGCATCTGCATCTGGTAAATCCACATCACCAAACAGGTCTTCTACCAACTCTCTGCAATAAACAATGTGCATAAACAATAGGTAAAAGCAAGTGTATCTTAAAAAGGAGAATCATACAAAATTTTAAAGTAGGCTAGCCTTGAATAGTTTCTTAGCTATGACACTGTTGCACCTGTCTGGATCTTTAAATCTATTTCCTCTGTCAAAAATAACAATGTGAACTTCAGCTCTTTCCAGTCTTGGATATCCTGTGCCCTAGAGATCTAAGAATAACTCATGCAAAAGAAACACTAAAAGCAACAAAACTTCCCTTGGCAATGATTACAAAGTGCCCACATACACACCCTACTGCTCCAGCAAACAAGCTTGGAGGCATTCTTGGTAATCTGGAGATTTGGGGAGGGGGGATGGCTCACTATAAGTGCAGAAAGCTCTTGGAGGGTGATTAGACTAAGTGGCATTTAGGAAGGGACTCTCACATTATTCCTATCAGTAAACAAGTGGAATGTGTCATCTGAGAGCCATGACTGGAAGAGCGCTGACTCCAGAGAGGAAATTTTTCCATGCTCACAATCTTATTCCTGCCTGCTGTGATCAGCAGCGTAGGTTATTACATAAAATTGAATATTACCCAAAATTATAATATGACACAGATAACTAAATAGAACTTATTATCATCATTATTGCACTAATTTACTGAGTAACATGGAGTGTGTACAAGCAAAACATTATATTTCCATCTGGATACAGCATATGAAATGATACATATAGACACTGAAAATAGCAAGCAAAAATAAAAAGAAAGAAAGAAAGAGAAGGAGAAAATAAAAGTATGCAGAAAAAGAGATAATAATATTGCAAAGGGGAGGGAAAGAGTCTAGACATTGCACATGAGTGTTCATATGTACCTAGCCTAAAAGCCACAAACTCGTAGAATGGCCATCCAAGTAAGTGTATTGCCCATAATTTGAGTCACATGCAGGCATGAAGCACCTGGACCCAAGGGACTAAGAGTTTGTTTTCACTAGAATATTGTGAAAGAATTCAGAAACACTAAGTAATACTGTCAACAATATGTGCTTCTGATACATACAATGTGTAGTGTGACAACAAAACTGTCAATTGTACCAGTATACAGATGTGCATGCACAATTTTTAAAAAAAGAAAAGAAAAAGCATATGTGACCATATAAAATGCATGATATATCAAAAATTTTCATTTCAAATACTATTTTGGTAGCTGAGAAAATTGAAATAAGAATTGCAATAATAATACCTTTTTAACCACTAGCCAACAGGTCGTATGTAAGCACATGCCATGACTGTTGTGGACCAAAAAACGGATGGCATTATATCATGCCCATTCCCGTGTCATTGGCTCGTCAGACGGAGTTTGTTTTTCTCCAATAGTAATGCCTTCATTTATTTGGTAAAGATTTTAGGCAATAGCACCTATAATGAAGGTAAACCTTCAAAATTATAATACTTTTATAAATTATAGCAAAATAAGAGCTTTTAGATGCCAAAAGTCACTCGCAAACTACCGAACTAGCCTGGCGCAAACAGGGGAAACTGCTGATGCGTGCCAACAATCCTGTTATTACGTCCACTTGCCAAACTTTTATACCCGGCGGCATTGGGTTAAGATAGTGGCAATGATTCATCACATCTTTACAACCTACATGGCCAAAGACAGTTAGTTAGGGTTTCTGAGCAGGTAATTACTTCACAGCAATGTAGTAAGGCAGGACTTAGACATGGGAGGATGGTGGGGACTTAGACTCTGTGCAACATTTGTTGTAGCTATTTTCTTTATTTCTCACTTTACTCTTTGACAGAGTCCTAGGATTTTCCCTATCTTACTTCAGTCATTTTGTAACCATATACCCTTTCCTTATCTAAAAGCTGGACTGCTGAGTTAATGATATTCTACAAATGTAAGCAGTGTACAGAAAAATCATTTTCCAATAGGGATATCACTTATCTAAAACAAATAACATCTCTCCTTGGCTAGAAAATAATAATATATCTGCTAGGCATGATTAGATATTTTTTTGTGTTACATTTCATATTTCATAATTTACAAATCATCCTGGGATCTAATCACTGCCTCAAGAGATGGAGCAGGGTCTAATTTATAAAAAACTGAGAAGCAAATAAATCAAATATCAAAACTAAAGTTAACTCAAAATTAAGAAGAGCTATCCAATAACTACAGACATATAAGAATAATTGTTTAGAATACCTTCACATAACCAAGTACACATATATATCAGAAATATGTTGAGGAACCCTTCCCAAACCTTTACATCTATAGCCCAATAGCAGAGAAGCACATGGAAGGTACCACGGAGATGAGGGGTAAACTATGAATAATATACACAAAATATATCAGTATGATAATAATATATAAAGAATAGGTCACTTTATTGTCTAATGGGTATCTGCTGCCCCCCAACATCACCCTGGAAGACAAAATATCCCCATGTATTCACAGCAGGACAGAGTGTACAATGAACATGCTGGAGCACCCAATGCTGTGTCTATCCTACACTCACTCATGTCATAGATAAGTGGTGGATTCTTTGTTGTCTAAGGTGGAGGTAACCTGCTTAATTTCTATATTAAGTGGTAAATGTTTAATGTTTGGATATAAATGTGCTAGACATCAAAGGTCATATGGGATTATAGTAAACCATTGTATTGGAAAGGGCAAAGAGGAGTTAAAGAGTCTGATAAAAAGTGTTAGATGTCAAAGGTTGTTAGTATGTCAGTGAAAGGGAAAAAGGGGAGTAAGTGAACTAGAGCAGAAATCAGTAGAAAGGGGAGGATTAAGGAGGTAGGGCAACTGAGTAAATTACAGTGTATCTGTGACTGGGGAAGGTATAAGAAAAATGTGAGGATGGGGTATGTGGAGAAGAAAGGGGTTTTGGAGTTTTTTTTGTTGGGGTGGTTAAGAGGATGAGGTATTTTGGGAAGGGGCAGGAGGAATATGAGGGGGTAGAGCAACTGAGTGAACTGCAGTGTATCTATGACTGAGGAATGAATAGGGACATTGTTCAAGGAAAACAGAGGTGGTTGTTAGAGAAGTAGGAGGAGAAGAATCCAGGGGATGAGAACGGGGAACTGGGGAAGGTGGTGCACTATCAGAAGAATGTCTGGAGGGGAGGGGTCTGGAGGTAGAGAGGGTGGGATATGTAGGAGAAAGGGGGGTGGAGGGAATTTGAGGAGGAAGAGGATGGATATCTCTGCAAATACTTCAAATGTAGAAGGAGTAGGTACAGAGGGATTAGGGAGTGGATAAAAAGTTTCAGGTGGAGAGTGGGTAAAGAGGACTGAGAAACAAAGGTTCTCTTATGAGAAGATACAGATATTTGAGGAACAGAAGAAGAGGAAGGTGTAGCAGAGAGTGGAGTGGAATGTTTAGGTTACCTGGTATGACAAATAAATGAGGAGGAGGGGTAGTATCGGGGAAGTGGTAGAGATTGGAATATCTGGATTTAGAATGGAAAATGAATTTGACTGGGGATAGGGTGAGTAGATGTAGGACATAGGTGTAGGACATATGGGAGAGACATCTGGGGAGATGTAGAAATATCTTGTGAAGATGGTGGGGGAGCAGAGCAAGGACTGGTTTGGAATATGTTGAGAGAATAACCTCGTTGTCGTGTTTCCTGTCTGGCCTTAGGTAGAGTGAGGCCTAGTTTAAATTTGAGGACTGCCACCTCTCATTCAAACTCATAGGCAGGGCAGCTCCTATAAAATATATTATGAGAGTCTCCACAATTGGCACATGTACTTGACTAAGCGGGGCAATTTGAACGGTCATGACCAGGTTGGGCACATAGAGGGCAGTGGGCTGTGGAGCGACAATGTTTGGAGGGGTGGCCAAAATGCCAACATTTCTGACATTGTCGATACTATCGGACATGATAAGACAATCCATCAATATAAACCTCATGGGAGGTCTTGTCTAAGGAAGCAAATCTTGGCAATATTGACGTGGGACTTATGCTGGCCTCTGGAGGAAGAGTGTCACTGCATTATATTCAGTATGGCAGGAAAGTAGGTCATTCTCACAGTCTGACCAGTCCTTGTCATACATGGGACAAACATTTGGAGGAATACAATTCAAAGTTCCAATACAAGTATTAACCCCTAGCCGATGGTGGCATGTATCTATATGCCCCATGGCTGTTGTGGACCGAAAGACAGGTGGCATCGTTCGTTGGATGGAGTTTGTTTTTCTCTGATAGTAGTGGCTTCATTTATATGGTAAAGATTTTAGGCAATGGCACCTATAATAAAGGTAAACCTTCAAAATTTTAACATCTATAAAAATTATAGCAAAATAAAAGCTTTTAGGTGCTAAATGTCACTTGCAAACTACGATTGAGCTGGGCGCAAACAGGGGAAACTGCCGATGCGTGCCAACAAGTCCGTCCATACGTCCAATTGCCAAACATTTTTACCTGTCGGCACTGGGTTAAGAGAGGGCGAGTTTGGCAGGAATGGGTTTGCCAGTAAGGTCAATTAGGGTAGATAGTGCACGAGTGTGGAATTCATGTTGAACAGATTGCAACAGGAACGACGAAGGGAAGGGCAAGAAAAACACACAAATA